AGCCCAAAGCAGAGCTTGAACTTACAACCCTGAGATTAAGACCTGGGATGAGATCAAGAGTTGGACACTTAACCAACTGAGCCACTCAGGCACCCCCTCTTAGGTCATTTTTAATCTATCCTCTAAATTAAAAAGTATGGCTGCCACTCCCAATTAAAATCTCTAACAGTCAAAGCCACATCTGCCAACTTGCACATCACCTTTGACATTCTTTGTTTCCATGTTTCATCTGAATTCGATACAGTGGCTTTCAACAGAATTTTAGGAAAGGAAAAAAATTTTAAGGAGACACTGACCAATATTTTAAAAATAAGATAAAGAGCCTAACACCATGATGTTAATTTTTTTATATTTAAAATACAAAAAGATGGGATCCCTGGGTGGCGCAGCGGTTTGGCGCCTGCCTTTGGTCCAGGGCGCGATCCTGGAGACCCCGGATCGAATCCCACATCGGGCTCCCGGTGCATGGAGCCTGCTTCTCCCTCTGCCTGTGTCTCTGCCCCTCTCTTTCTCTCTCTCTCTGTGTGTGACTATCATAAATAAATAAAAATTAAAAAATAAAATAAAATAAAATACAAAAAGATAAACTGTGAACCGTGAGCTATTTTAACAAACAAGAGAGAAAAAAATTTTGACAGACATAAGTTACTCAAGGGACCTCCAGATCATATGAAGCCTTTTTGTGCTGCTACATCCCCAAGGATTCCATTATATCTTGTCACACTAGCAAGAGAACATCCCCATTCAAGGAAGAGAGAACAATGACAAAAGACCACAAAAGAGAAATTACAAGACAGGCTGAAAATCCAGGGTTCAAGCCTATTTCTGCCACCTTCCCTCTATGTGACATTGGGACAGTCATTTAAAAATCTCTGCATTGGTTTTCTTTTCTTTTTTTTTTTAAGATTTATTTATTTATTTGAGAGAGAGAGAGAGAGAGAGAGGATATACAAGCAGGGGGAGGGGCAGAGAGAGAGAGGGAGAGAATCCTCAAGCAGACTCTCCACTGAGTGGGGGAGCCCAATGTAGGGCTCAATCCCAGGACCCTGAGATCACGATCTTAGCCAAAACCAAGAGTCAGACTCTCAACCAACTAAGCCACTCAGGCGCCCCTCTCCATTGGTTTCTTTGTTTTGAAGAACAAAATTCTAATAACTGTTGTCCTTAATAAAGCCCCACCTACCTAGCAGAGCTATTGTGAAGATCAAATTTCAGCAAACACAAAAGCACTCTATAAAGTACTTTACAAATATTAGTTTTTTTAGCATACTATTATTCTCAGTTCCGTACCTGACTCAGTACCCGAACCCAACCAAGAGTCTGTAGTATCTCTCATCTCAAATGTAAATGGCCATGTTTCATTCCCACGCAGATTAAATGTTAGACAATGAACTATGCCATAATCCAACATCAGTTAAGGGGACATTCACTACAGTTCTGTAATTATGGCTAAAATGACCATATATCCCACCCATCTCGGTTTGCCTGGGGCTGTTTCAATAGGAGCATTGCTTTGCACTCTCAAAAGTGCCCCAACTAGAATGATGAACTCTATGGCCGCCCTAATAGAGCAGACATAAAGTTATGGCACCGAGAGGTGGCAAGGGGCTGGGCCTTGGAACTCCCACTGTACTCTCCAGAAGCCCCCTGAAAACCATCCTAAATAAACAAACAATGTTAGCAAAAACAGTAAGCTTGCTATGCAGAACTAAGCCCCCTTCTAATCAGGCTGCTACTCCTAAGCCCCCCTTTCTAAAAACGCTAAAGCTAATGCACACAAATATTCTCATTTAAAAATATTACAAACCCACAAAATATTCCAGCCTTAACCCTCAAATAAGCACTTGTGCTATACATAAACAACAGAGAAACAATCAGCTGGGAATCTAAATCACTATATTGCATGGTCAACCCAACCTCCTGCATGGCCTTAGGTGAGACACTCAGTTTTCCAGATGGTTTTCACTTCTGTAAGTCTGGACAATGTTCGTCTCCTCCACTTCCACAGAGCCCATTAGCAAGCAGGGGAAGTACTCGGAGAGTTTTATGAATGCAATGGATTGTCATCTCATAAAGCTTGCTAACTGACTAGGAAAGAAGGCTAGGGTTACTGCACATAAAAAAGCAAAACCTCTACAAGGTGGCAAGTATTTTATTTCCCCTTCTTTGCTGCACAGGTTTCTAATTCAAATGTGGCGGTCACTTACAGAACAGGATGAAAAAGGTCACTAAACAGTGAGATGCTGGTTTGCTTGGTGCTAAGGAATTCAGGGGGGATAATCCCTAACCAGGGACCATGGTTGAGCTTCATGAGGCCTATGAAGCCCCCAAATGATAAATGAAGTAGGGGAGTGAGCAGGCACACACATACATGACCACACTTTTCACTGTGTGAGGGAACAATCCCCAGGACAGAGGAAAGGGCCCTCAACAAAGGAAAGACAAATCTCAGTTCTTATGCAGCTACTAACTGGTATGGTTACCTTGGATAAGTCACTTTATCTGTGTGCGCCTCAGTTTCCTCCTCTGTCCAAAGGAAGTGTTTGCTTTTTCTACTTCAAAAGGTAACTGTGAGGAGGAGGTGGGAAAGCACTGATAACAGTGCTTTAGGAGGATTAGGATTGTAACTTTGTCTCTTTTAAAATCACCCAGAGATGCTGATAAAAATCCTGCCTGGGGAAGGTTCCTATCTGTTTAGAAAGGAACAGCAAAAGAATAAGGAGGACAAAAACACAATAAAAATTCACCTTTACCTTATCCCCAAGCTCCTGGATTTGCTGAACCAAACTGCTCTGGGGAGATGTAAAGATCACAAGTTCAGTTTCTGCCCACCTCAGGCTGCTCGGTGACCAGTGTTACACACTGATAAATGCCTCCCAAACCTCAGTGCACAAAGTGAGAGTTCACAAGGTTAGGCGCATTAATTAGCAGTACTCATTTGGATTCTGTATTCATCAAATACAACAAGCAGCTATTCAATATTTGCCTGTTTGCACTGCTCTAAGATCTCTGATTCAAAGATCCAGTCGGAGAACAAAATAAAGCCCAAGAAAATAAACTAATATAAGCCTGTCACCATCAGAATGTGCCTCAAAGTAAATTAGCAGCTTTAAACTATGGCAAAGGGGTCTGCATAGACCTACAGCAGAGAGAGTATAAGTAATGAAGGTGCAGGTTACAGAAGTGGGTCCCTACCACAAGAGAAAGAAAAGATAAAGCAGTTCCAAGCAACGAGAGGACTTTTGTGCTTTAACAAATTCCTCTTAATTCCTTTTACTTAGTTTCTTATTGATCTGCAATCCCTCCAGGAAGAACTCAGCATTATACAGTACCTTCCAGTTCCTTTTAAACTCAGTACGTCTGTTCCCATACTTTAATTAGTTTTACCTTCCTATATCTAAAATAAGCCTATATCCCAAATAAGCAACATTTTATAAATAAGTAAACATATGCATTGGTATGCAAAACTAGATAGAGACTGACCATGATCTTTTATGTTTTAAGGATCCTTTAGGTTTCATCTTTATGTTAAAGAACAGGATGAAACAGAAAATGTCACTCTTTTTAAAGTAGCCCATAAGACTGCAGTTCTCCACTCTGGCTATAAAACAGCATCACCTATAGAGATTTCTAAATATGTTAATGATTAAACCCAATCTTAGACTTATTCAATCAGAACCTCTAGAGGCTGAATCTCCAGGCAATAGTACTTTTCCTGATATATGGCCACAATATAGAATTACTATCAAAGGGCATAAATTTTACAGCTTCAAAAGCTCTAGAGCAGACCCAAACCAGAAAGAAAAAAAATACCCTCTATATTATTCTCTTTAGATTTGAAGTAAATGACCATATCTCTTAACAAAAGCTTCCATAAGAACAAACTTCAATTCCAACAGTGATGATCCCCCTGGGAGATGAACACCAAGATCAACAATATTCTCCCTCGTCCTTTTTCTCCATACCCCACCTGGGGCCGATGTGATACCAAACCAGCACCAAAAGTACAAGAACTGAGCATATATTCAAATAGATGACCACTAATTATGGGACTATCCTAGTTGTTAAAATCAGCTGCAGGGGTTCTGATGAGATTCAAGTAATTTCTGGAAAGAACTATGTCAACCCCTCTATTTAGCACTCCAATGATACATGTCCTTTGGACGAGCCTAATAATGGGGGCTTTTTTGGACAATTCTATGGGGAAGTTGGATAGGTATTCAAAGATATTGCTATGAGCTATCCTTTCAAATCTCCTGAAAAATATCAATACTCCCAAACAGCAAGGAGGCAAATTTCAGAGGGTAGGTATCTTAAGCCACATCATTCCTCTGAAGCAGCTTTACCTGTTCTTCTAACCTAACTCGGCTTCAGCCTCATCTGCTCAAGGTTTCTAATAGCAAAAGGAAAGGGAAGGCATTTTATACACTCACCTAAAGCATTCAGATGATGTCTCATAGGAAGCAGTACTGCTCTACCCACAGTAGGGACTGGGCTTTTTTCCAATCATCCTCCCTATCTAACAAAGAAAGGCAACAGAAACTTCCCTCTCTCAAACAAGCCTTCACTGATTAAAACCATAAGGCTGAATTCCCCCAGGAAGGAGAACGGAATTTTCTTGTTGCAGATTATTGCAAGGACTCAAAAAAATCTGTGCAGGCAGGGGTTAAGTGGCAGAGAATTAAAAGACAAGCCCAGCACTTAGAATTATGAGACATCAAGAAAACCAGGTTAAAAAATTATTATACAGCCTGGAGAAGAAAAAACAAAAGCAATTATGGTTGTGCTTGAGTGATTTTTCCCCCTGTAATATCCACAATTTCAATAATGTGATTACAATTCTTTTAGGATTAAAAAAATATTTTTATTTGTAGCTCTAAATGTAAATTCATTGATGAAACTAATCATATCACTCTCCAAAATTATTTCAGGAAACACTCTCCACCACTGCATCCTTAGAATGAACACACACCATCTGAGTTATAAACAGGAATACCAACCTGGCTGTCCCGTGCTGGGAATCCATGATAACCTGGGGTCAGAGGCTCGTTCTAGGAAAAAGAAAAGAAAATTAAACTATAAGACAAAAGAAAACATTAAGAATCACCAAAATCATCCAAACTGATCAAATACAAATTCCTACAACAGTTCCTAAGGTGTTCCATTGCTATCTTCCACTCTAACTACATACCTCTCCAAGTTCAGCCTCTACAATGGCAAAAACTAAACCAAACAGATAGTATTTGCTTCAAAACACAACTCATAAACACTATTTTCCTCCCAGTAGAGCTAAATTTGTTTCCTTCCCAATATATCTCAAACATGGAGCCACTGTGATTTGGGGCAAATCAACTCCTAACTTCACACTGTGGGATGTTAGCCTCTCGGGTCCTTAACCACTAAAAGGTAGTAGGAATCACGAACATTAGGACAACCAAAAACATTCACACGTTCCCAGAAGTCTCCTGGCTGAATGGTACTGAGAACTGAACACGCTCCCCCTACTGAGAACCACCCCATGGCCTGGAAGTTTTAGGCACTCCCTATCATTATGTGTTCCTTCAGTTCTTTGAACCCTACATGAAATCCCGTCTCTGTACAGGACTTCCTCTACCACCCTATATCACCCAATGGACCCAAGTGACTCCTAACATGTATATATTTATTTAAATGTATTTAAGCTACTTGTACAATGTCCTTTTCATATTATTTACAACTCAATACATCTTATTTTTGTAAAAGAATATCATATTGAGTATCTCATCTTCACATTAACAACTAAATCAAGATCCTTGAGGACAAGAATGATAGTCAATACAAGCTGTGCAAACCCTAATTTAGTATAAGGTCATATGGCATGAGTATTGGGTCATTCATGGCTTGACCCATTCAATCATTCAGTCAACATATACTGAATATCTATTTTTTTTTTTTAAGGGGAGAAGGGAAGAAGGGCAAAGAAAGAGACAGCATCTTAAGCAGGCTCCACATTCAGCACAGAGCCCAGCTTGGGGCTCAATTTTATGACCCTGAGATCACGATCTGAGCCAAAATCAAGAGTTGGATGCTTAACTGACTGACTCACTCAGGCTCCCTGAACACCTAATATTTTAAAAGTACTGTTAGATAACTAATAGTTATAAGTAAGAAAGGTGAATAACACAAGGCCCTTGCCTTCAAGACAACTTTTAAGTGGGAGGAGATACATGTGCACACACAAGTGCTTTTGTAATTTTTTCAATGTGCTCAACACAATTACCTGGAAAATACTCATCCTCTTCTTCCATCCATTTATGTTTTCATTCCCACTGGCAGAATAACAAGGTTAAGAATTTGCACTGATAGGATTTTCATATATGGCAAGACAGCACTTTCCAACTAATGGTACATCTGCTTTGACAAGATATCCTTATCTTTGATAGTCAAAAATCCACACTGCATTCAAAAATATGAAAACCAGGGACAACATAAGCTCAATTCAGAGACCCCATGTCTGTTCATCACAGTCACCCAGCAATTTAGCACAGTGTCTAACACACAGTGGGCACAAAACAATGGATAAATAAATAAATGGAGTTCAATAAGCTGAAGTTATTTTGGCATTCATCACTGATTCGATCACAGGCAATCCAAGTTCTCTCTTTTTGATTCCTAAATCTCTATCTTGGATATTTATAAGTTAAGTCTCCTCAGAGAAAGCACACCAAAGCTAATAGACTAAAAAAATTAGAGGAGCCAAACAATTCTGAGAAAGAAAAGCAAGGATTCATGTTTTCTGATTTCAAAGTTTCCTGCAAAGCTACAGTAATCAAGATAGTATGATACTAGCCTAAGGATAGACATATAGGCTAATGTGCTACAACTGAGAGTCCAAAAATAAACCCTTAAAATTATGATAAACTGATTTTGGAAAGGGGGCCAAGAAAAATCAATGGGGGAAAAAACAGTCTTCTCAACAAATGGTGCTGGGACACCTGGATATCCAAATGTAAAAGAATGACGTTGGAATGCGGTCTTACACCGTATAGAAAATTAATTCAAAAGAGATCACAGACCTAAAACCATAAAACTCTTAAAAGAAAACACAGAAGCAAATCTTTATGACTTTTGGTTAAACAGTAGTCTCCTCAGTAGAAGACCAAAAAACAAGTGACTAAGGAAACAACAGTTAAATCAGGCTTCAACAAAATTAAAAACTTCTGGGACTCAAAACGTGTCAACAGACACCATCAATTCTGGGAATCTAATGTCTGGCAAAGTGATTATAGTTAATAATACTATATTATATATTTGAAAGGTACAAAGAAAGCAGATCTTAAATGTTCTTACCATAAAAAATAAATGGTAATTATGTGACACATGTTAGCTAACACTGTGACTGTGTTGGTAATCACTTCCCAATATGTAAGTGCACCAAATCAAAATCTTGTACATCTTGGGGCACCACGGTGGCTCAGTGGTTGAGCATCTGCCTTTGGCTCAGGTGGTGATCCCGGGGTCCTGGGATCCCTCAAGGAGCCTGCTTCTCCTCCTGCCTATGTCTCTGCCTCTATTACTGGTGAATAAAATAAAATCTTAAAAAAAAAAATCTTGTACATCTTGAACTTACACAATGTTAGAGGTCAGTTATACCTCAATGAAGTGAGAGGGGACTCCCATCAGTAAATGAACAGACAACTCAGAGAATGGAAGAAAATACTGCAAGTCATCTGTCTGATAAAGGGCCTGTATTCAAAACATATATAAAGAACTCTTAAAAAGACCATCTGAATTTTAAAATGGGGAAAGGATCTGCACAAAAAGTTCTCCAGAGAAGACATACAAATGGCCAATAAATGAAATGCTACTCAACCTCATGAGTCATTAGGGACATGAAAATCAAAACTGCAGTGAGAAAATACTTCACACTCATTATGAAAAAAAGAAACTTCAGTGAAGAGGTGGAGAAAGTGGAATCTCATACATAGCTGGTAGAAACGTAAAGTGTTATGTAAAGGCACTTTTGGAAAGTCTGGCAGTCCTTCAAAATGTTACAACAGAGTTACCATGTGATCCAGCAATTCCACACTAGGTGTAAGGAAGAAAAGTGAAAACACAGATCCACACAAAACCTCGTACAGAAATGTGCATAACAGCTTTACTTCATAATTGCCAAGAAGTAGAAACAATCCAAATGTTCACCAGTTGATGAGTGGATAAACAAAGTATGATATAACCATAATTGAATGTTATTGGGTAATAATACAAAGGAACAAAGTATTGATACAACCTAATACTGAAAACACCATACTAAGTGGAAAAAAAAGCCCAGCAAATTGTATGACTCCATTTATATGAAATATCCAGAATGAACAAATGCACAGAGAAAGAATAGAGATTAGCAGCTCTAGGGGATAAAAGGGCGAAATAGGGAATGAGTGGTAACAGGTGCTGGGTTTGGTTTTGGTGATGACAACGTTCTGGAATTAGTGATGACAGATACACAGCTTTATAATTATACTAAAAACTACCAAAACACTAAAAAGTACTACTATCACTTTAAAAGGGTAAGATTTATAGTCGGTGAATTCTATGTCAATCAACCTGTTATTTAACAATAGTAAGGATAATAATGGGCCATACATACATAGTTAGCTACACTCATACTAATTTTTACAGGGGAGACATACAGCTTAGACTGTAACAAAAAGAACAGGGCTCCTTCTGAAATCCACAAGTAAGTGTCCTGTTTGTTCTACATTCTGTAATTTACTTCAACATCAGATTTTAACAATGATTATAATAAAGATGGTGATAACTACTAGACACTGAGCAATTAAATCAGGTATAATTTTAGGATGGAGGGGAGGAGGAATAGAAAGCAGCAAAAAAAAAAAAAAAAAGGAGGTAACAAAACATAGGTACTAGGTGGGAGAAAAAAACCTTTCAATCCAGGTCTGTTTGACTCCAAATCCCTATTCTTTCCATTTTATCAAGTTCTCTTCCACAATAACCATTCCACATTATTTTTTTAAAGTAACTATTCCTAGATTGTCTGATAAAGAGATTATATGATTAAGAAAGTAATGGAAAACACCCAAAAACAAATTAACATTCATCCCTCCCAGAGAATATCCCACATAGAAACTATATTCTTGAGTTCAACAACGCTGAGAACTTTTTATAAGGAAAAAAATCAAACCTACAAGGTGGTATTGTCAGAAGTTAACACTTCTGTTAACAGGTTGCACAGATAGATGTCAGAGGAAATGGCCTCCTTCACTGGCCTTAGCAAAGTCAAGTTCCTACTCACCAGCTCTCAGAGACTCTCTGCCTATGAAAGTGGCCAACCCTTAACGACAAAGGCTTATTTTATTTTTTAATTTTATCATGTAAAAATCTGTCTCTTCATAATGCATTAACTTTGCACGTTTTTTAATTTATAGAAATAGATCTTATCACATGTACTCTTTAGCAATTTCCTTTTTTTTTGCTCAAAACTATGAAGTTTTGCTCATCTCCCCTTATGCATCTTACTCTATCTCACTGTGACTCCTATTTTGAATTCTATCTTATGACTATGTCACAATTTATTCATCTGTCTTATTCTCCTGTTAATAGATTTTTAAATTGTTTCCAGGTATGCTTTTTCTTTGCACTCACAAAACCATCATGTCTATGAACATTCTTTTGGATTTGAGACATTATTTTTCACTCATGAAATGGCAAAAATGAAAACAAAAATATCATGAGTTAGCAAGAAGAATAAATAGGCACCTTCACATCTAATAGTAGGAATATAAGTATATTGAGATCGCTGCTTTGGAAAGCAATTTGACAATAATCATTAAAATGCTAAATACACATACCATCTTATAATTTCCCATGTCTGCCCTCTGTAGCCACTCCTGCGTGTGTGCTCAAAGAAGCATGTGCGAAGACCTTCAATGCACTGCTGTTTGTAACAGTGAAAACTTGGTAAGAACCTTGTCTCACTAAACAATGAGAAATAGTGCTAATTATTATATTTCAACACCCTGTGTACAAGTTTTTGAAAAGGTAAAATCTCTAC